AGTCACTGAGATGCAAACCCACACACAGATGAATTCCCAGGCAAGGACCATGGACAGATGCCCCCGTGGCCCACTAGCAGTTTAGAACAGCTGAGGACCTGCACCTTTGCCCCTCTTTGGTGGACACTGGTGGTTTCCCAGTCAGTCCTATCCTAAAAACCTGAGGATGAAAAATCAAGTAATGAGTCTGGCAGATCAGTCTCTCACTTTAGGCTGAATTTTGTTTGAGCCTGCACTCAAAACCCAGGACTCTTTCCTTTGAACCTCATTTCTCCAAAAATAGTTCAAAGCATTCTGAGAACACGGATGCCAAAAATCCAGCCTGGAAACCACCCCAGCCTCAGTGTAAAGCACTCCCTTTCCTCCTGGGAGCTGTGCTGCTGCTTTGCACAGCCTGTCAAACAGCCCCTGCAGACTCAGCCAGCCCTCATTCACCACCTTGGGACTGAAGCATCAGCTGCTGCAGGGCTGGGCCCTCAAAGGGATCTTGCTGTGATCCCACACCTGCCTGTTGTTACAGCCCTGGCTATTCTGACAAAGAGATCAAGATGAAATAGCTTCTCGCTCCCAGTTTGTACAAAACACCCTTTCCAAGCAGAACTGTGTTACCCACGTGTGTACAGGCTGTGCCAGGCAGCAGCACCACAATCCCCTGCCCTGGGTGGTGCAGCAACAAGAAGGATGGTTTGGCATTATTATGCCAACACCTCTTTAATTACACTTTGGGCAAGTACTGTGTTTTCTCCCCAAAACTAATAGCAAAGCAAACACTTGGAAAACCACTTGATTTTCGCATTACAACCTCTGTGTTCGTTTACTGTGACATTTCCCAACCTGGCAAACATACTTTTTGGAAGCTTCTCGCTTTTAATTCAGGGTTTTTGCTCTGAACTTTCTTTTCCCTACCCACTGCCCCCCTGTTTTGTGAACCCTCTGTTAAGCAGAAAGATTTCTGTGATCTTCCCTGCAACGAAAAATGCTCATGAGAGTCAAAGCAGCCTTTAATAATACTGCCTGATTAACATCCTGAAAGAAAGACCACTTTATTCCTCACAGGTCTGATGAATTCTGTCAGAGGCTTATTTAGATTTCACTGAGGTCTTTTTTAGCTGTTTCTTCAAAACTGACTCAACGACGTCCTAAACACTTAATCTAAAGCAGATGAAAAGTTCTAATCATTTATTAAGTTAAGGATAAGAGAAAATTCTTTGCTGGATTGGGGCCTAAAGGCCTGCAAATACAGATGGCTGTTAGCAAGGTCCAGAAGAGGCCAAGTAACCACCAACAGGCAATTATATTCCTACCAGAACTTCAATTGTTTGAAGTTAATTGCTTTGAAATAATTGGACAGGTGAGCAGGTAAGTTCACACAGAGCATTTGCAGTTTTGCTTTGTATTTAAAGAAAACAACAGTGCAGATTGCACGGACAAAGCAGGCACGATTTTAACAAAAGGAGTTAAAAGGCAAGGGAAAAGTAGAGTTGGTTGTTTGGTTTTTTTAAAGACTTTTCCTTTCAGTTTTGAGCATCATTAAAACGCTGCAAATGTTTCATTCAAGAGCTTCTTTAGTTAATACCTCATTACTTCTCTTTTTATTGTTATGGTAATCAAGCCTTAATATATTGCAGCTTTCCAGCACGAAGTGAAGGCTAGGCCTGTGGGCATGGACAGATGTACAACAGCATGCAGTAAAACACAGGTACAGAGACATGCAGAGCTGAATATGGCACTGGGGTTTTTATAATTGTTTAGCAATTCATCTGAAGTTATTTTAACCTTGACAACAGATGAACTCGAACACGCCCCGCGAGCAGTCACTGGAAAGCTGCGCCGAAAAGCAACTTTTGTGACTGTTGTCTTACAGGTTGAGCTCTAGGAAAGCATGAAACCAAGGCTGAGCAGGGTGATTAAATTGTTTGCATGGCTACAGGCTGTAGCTGTAACTGTTCCAAACATTTAGCTGAGAGTATTTCAGCCAGGGGAGAATGATGATGTTGGGAAACTGCATTAACACCAAAGCCTTGCCTCCCCAGGGGAAATCAGGGCTCAGGGTCAGGATCCACACCCTCTCCTGTCACAGGCACACCGAAATTATAAACACTTACTTCTGGTTCTGAAGTGACACTTGGACCTTGTGCTGGAGCTCTGCTTAGGGTTGAATTCCCCCCCATCAAATCCAGTGAAAGTTATTTATAACTTTTAGAAAGTTATAATGGCCTTGTTGAAACAGCATCTCAGGAAGAGTGAGGGGCCTTAGATCTTCTACAATAAATGACAACACACGACCCCCAGTGTCAGGGAGGCTTCACTTCTCAGTGCTGCTTTCAGGAGAGATCATCCAGGAAACCATTCCAGCTCCTGGGAGATTTTCTAAATTTAAAGGGAGTGTTTTGGCTGGCGATCCCTTCCCCAGTGAAACCGCTTCAAAGAGCCAACAGGAAAAGCAATATGCCTGTGACTGCACAAAATCCCTGGGACTGAGCACCACACTGGGAAGTTCTGGAGCCCCACAGGGCTGGGGTGGCACCATCCAGCCACCAGCTCTGGTTTATCCCGAGCACAGCCCTGCAGGAGCATCCCAAACCACGCCTGGCACGGCAAACACACATGACCTTCAGAGTAGCTGCACGGTATGGATGTAGGAGCAGAGGAAAGCAGGCACAGCTGATGGATTATCCCAACAGAAGTGACAAGTGTTTTCCACATTCTGAGTGGGTTACAGTAAGGCATGACCCAAAATGGATCATGGAGCTGAAAAACCTGGTTAACCTCGGACAGGCAACACTCCCACTTCTTTCTTGGAAACACTTGGAGTAACAATGCACTGCATTCTGCTGAGATCTCCTGACTTAAACCTTTTGATTTAAACAAAGTCCCCCAGCAATAAAGAGGCCACTCACCCAAATTTCTGGTGTGCACTAAAAGCTGACTTCCATGAGGCCATTCACTCCTCCCAGCATTAAACTGGGAAGTGCTTGTGGGATCAGCCCCTGGGCCAGCAACACGTGTTGCCCAGTGTGTAACAAATGGAATGAGAGACAATGGGCACTATAGGCCAGCAAACACACTGATTATATTAATAAAAGAAAGCTTAAATTTTGAAGCTAATCCTGGGCTATCATTTATAAAAGTTACCGGGGCATATTTAATTTAGGAATTGGCCAACGCTTCCCTTTCCACCGCTGAAACCTCATAAATGAAATACCCTGGATCGGTGCCCGGCGCGGAAATAAAAGTTATGAATAATGTTTCTATCTCCATCATTGTCAGTGCTTTAATATTCCTAATTACTTTAAAAAGCTAAATATTCAATATAGCAAAAACCTTCTTTTTCTTTTATCTCCACTTGCAAGATTAGGGCAATTTAATAAGAGTTGCTGGGTAGTTTGAGCCCATGGGACCAGTCTGAGACCACTTTGACATCTCATCCTTTCCTTTCATCTTCACACAGCATGGAGAGTTTGTGACTCTGGGGGTATAAATGTGTACATCTCTGTGTGTGTGTGCATGCTGCCACAGTGTTTATTATTACCATTATTTTTAACTTCTGGGAACTGTACAAATACTGGCTGGAAGGTTAAACATATCAAAAGACAAAATGAGTTCCTGAGAATCTCTGCAATTATCCCACAATTCAAGGTGCTATTTTTCTTCTTTAATACATTGATAGAGGTGGATATTTAGTAAGTTGTGCTGCCCAATTTTTCCCTTGTCCACATGCCAGGTAATCCCAAAAGGTTGCTTCAAACCCCAAAGCACAGCCTTTGTTCCATCCTTAGAATCTCAGAATGGTTTGGGTGGGAAGGGACCTTGGAGCCCATCCAGTCCCACCCCTGCCATGGGCAGGGACACCTTCCACTAGCCCAGGTTGCTCCAAACCCCATCCAACCTGGCCTTGGACACTTCTAGGGATGGCAACAATCCTCCCTCCCTGCTGCCCTTGCTGCTGTGCCTGAGGGACATCACAGAGCTGCAGACAGAGCTGAATCACTGCCTTCAGCCTCTGCAGAGGTTCTTCCTCTGCCACATTGAACTCCCATTCCCTTCTATCCCCTCCCTCTATAGATCCCTTCTCTGTTACCTTTTTGCCTGGTAATTATGTTTTTTTCTTAAGATCTCAATCAATTTGGGAGGAAGGGAGGAAGAAAACACAAACTGAGACGTCCATTCAGCTTCATTTCACTGCATCTCTCCCCGTGTTCCTTTATTTACTTGCCTGATGCACAAATTGACTTCATTTAACAAGCTTATTTCTTTTATGTCAATAAGGCATCGGGCCCGTGTTCCAGCAGAGCTCAGATGTTTGTGCTGCCTGTTCCATTCCACATGAACCAAGCACAGAGACCTAAATTCACCACTGCCAATTAAGAGACTTTAACAAACACAGCCTCACCAGCTGGAGGAATTGAAAAGTGTGCATTAATTCCCCAGCAAAAGGTGCTTCCCTAACTCCTGCAGTATGGATTGGAGGTATGGATTGCAAGGCAGAAGGTAGAACCTGGACTGCCTGGAAAAGTCAATGGCAAAAACTCCCAGTGGCTTAAAAAGCCAAGGATTCTGTGAGCAGAGAGGGCTTTCCAAAGGGCTCCAACTCTCCACAGGGTATTTCGTGAGGAATGTGTTGTATTAAAGATTGAAGAGAGAAAAAATTCATAATACAGCTCTGTTATCTGTACTGGTATCCCAATAATCAAAAGCATTGAGAACATCAAGAGCACCTTCCACTGCATTTCACATTTCTTTGTAAAAAACAAGCAAAAAAGGCCAATGTCATTATCCCAGGAAAAGACATTATCACACATCCATGGAATACCAGAATGGTTTGGGTTGGAAGAGACTTTAAAGCACATCTCATTCCAAACCCCCCAACCATATTAATTATTCCAAACTAACAGACAAAATTCATTTTTCCACTTAGAGCATCCAAGTCCCAAGGCCACTGCCTGTTTTTTTTCCCATCAACACGAATCTTTTATCACGTTTTGGTAATGTTGACTCACCACTGGAGCAGTCAGTGCCTCCCCATCCTGGTTCACAGTGACACGTGTCAGGAGAGACACACCTGCCATGCACACACTCCTCGGTGCACAGAGCTGTGGAAGGAAACAACAGCATTGTAAACATGGCAAGTGGTTGCTAAACATGCCCTAAACTGGGCCTGAGAGAGCAAAGTTTGGTTTAAAAATATTAAACAAAGCAAACACACGCACAAAAGAATAACTGCCCCCAAGATTTAATTCTTGCTAAGTGACCAAAATAAAATGCAGGTCTCTTAACAGCAATAAATTCATTTGTCACTTCAGCCCTTTGTAATGAAAAACTCCAACACCAGGAATTCCTTTGCTTAGCAGTTGTGCTCCATAATAAAGTTTTTACCAAACTGACACTTCTTATTATATTAGAGAAGAGCAGCTTCTTATATCACACTCAAGTTGTGACTGTCCACAAGATAAAATGGAACTCGGTCCTGAAAGTGTATTAAGGCCCAAAATAGTAAAAAACAGCTCAAGGAAAGTAAATAATTTTACTCCATGATGCAGCAGCTGTAAGTGCAGTCCTGTCTGTTAAAGGTCATCCAGTTTTCCATGACCACAGTGCTCTCATCTCACTTGTTCACTGGTGAATTACTGAAAGTTCAGGATCCTCAAGGCTCAAACTAAGACAAACTGGCTGAGGAGCAGCTCAGAGTTTAAATAATTCCCTTCTCCTCTGCTGTTTCAGTGTCTGACAGTTCCCAGTGAGTGCCTTCGTGCCCACCACATCCTAAAAACTTGGACAGCACTGAATAAACTTGGACAGCACTGAATAACTGCTTTACAGGCTGGACTTTACTGCTCTGCACCTTGTTCCCATTTTACCACTCAGGACATATTGCCAAAAACTCAGGGTGTCAGAGATTGAAGCTGGAGGGTTAAGCTGGAACACATCCTTTCCATCTAGAATAACAGGTAGGAGTTATTAATGAGGATGATGCAGCTGCAGTGAGGTCACTATGGTAAAATGTATATACACACATTTAATAGAGACATCAAATATCTCTGATTTATGTCATATATAACCTACATTTGTGTATCCTGTGTTTTTACAGCAGATGGGAAAGGTCCCAGCTCCCTCCTGGGCCAAAAGCTCCCCCCCCAGTGTGTTGGACCTTGGAATGACTCCTGCTCCTCTGCACTCTGCCTGGACCCCCCCTGGATCCCCCCTCAGGCTGCAATCACAGCTCAGGGACACATTCTGCTGCCTGGTCTATGTTTGGGTCACTGCAGATCAAACCCGCAAAGCTGCTCACAAAATACCGAAATCCAACTTCAAATCACAGGTGAACTTTGAGTAATCCCTGGGACAAACCTTCCTGCTCTTTTATCCACCAGATCCCACGTGAGCAGTGATTAGAATGTTGTCTCGTTAAACCCACTGCGAGATCCTTGTAAATTAGTCATTTTCTTTCCACGTTTGCCGCATGTCAAAAATGCAATTTATTCTTATTTCATATCTTGTGTTTAGACAGTATTGCAGTGGGCATGAAATATTCATGGCTAATTCTCCAGTCACTAATTGTCCTAATCTTCTGTGCATTTATTTGAGTCCAGACAGGGTTTCTGGAGACAGGGAGGCATCCCAGGCTACAGCTGTAACATGGAGTTCAAGACAGGATATTGGAAAAACAGGATTTTCCAATAAAATATACGCACCTCCCTGCAATCATTTGAAAATGGCTGGGTATTATTTACAATAATAAATCATTCTTACATGTGAAATGTGTAAGATTCTTATCCTTTTAACCAGGCTGGTTCTGAGCCCGAGGCAAACTTTGTCAGCAAGAAGGCTGATGGTGGACTAGTTTTTTGGCCTTCCCAAATAACAAAACTCCTGCTCATCACTGGCCTGAATTTAATTGATTTCCACAGGGACATATCACACCTTAACTATGTTAATAAAAATATGGAATAATAATCAATAATTAGGGTAATAAAGTTCACTTGATCACTCGTCCATGGACAGAAGTGCTCCTGTCCCATGGGAGGAGGGCAGTGAGACTTAGAAGGAAGATTCAAGATAGAATTGCTCATTTTAAAGCACTCAGTGACATGAAAAGTGGTAAAAATGTACTATAAGGAGCTGTATCTTTGTTTTCAGGTGTTTTGAAGTCCTGCATAGCTGAAGATGACAATGTTTAATGAGCAGTTGAAGAGTTAAATAGAGACACTCATTAGAACTGTGGGTTCTCTGATCTCTGGTTGATTAACCTGCTAAACAAATAGCTGTGAACTCAACATGAGGTGACCAATCCCATATGTGGGTGGGGGTGACAGAACCCTCCCCTTTTCTAAAAGGAGAAATTTTGATATAAATAATTGTATTTAAGGAGGCAAATAATCAGACTCCTGCACTGCCTGCTTCAAATCAGGCCCATAAAGGTCATACCCTAATAAAGGTGCAACTCTAAAGTTTTACCACGGCAAATAAAATTCTGAATTTCTCCTATAAAAGGGAAGTCTTGCCTTGCTCTAGTCTTTGGAGTTGAAATTAATTTTTCATTCTATTAACATTCAGCATAATAGGACACAATGGTCCCCAAGGCATTCTCCATAACACACTTTGTTCAGGGGTTTGCAAATGATCTTACCACTTAATGGAACCATAAAAATTACTTGCACATAAAGGTCAAGAAAAATAAAGGTAAGTATATACTTTGTGACACTGTCCTGTCCAAAGGCCCCTGGAGTAAAGAAAACTTGGGACTAATGCAAGGACCATCATTCCTGCCAGCCAAGCACTTCAACCTTTGGAATTCCAGACATTTCGTGTCTGCGCTTTCCCTCCACCCCTTCTCCCCAGCAATCCAGCACCTCATTGATCAGGGCATCATTAGCATTCCTGGCATGGCTTTAACATCAGGTTGTAGTTTGATTCAGCCTGGTAATAAAATGACCTACATCAAAGCCCTGCCAAAATGCCATCTTTGTGGCAATGTGTTTAGCATGAGTTATTTGCCCATATTCAAGGTTACACAGCAACTGCTCCTTATCATGCAATTTAAAGGCAACAAAAGGCTTCTGCAACAATTCATTTGATGCTTATCACTTACTTTATAATTACACACAGGGCTTTTTTTAACATGTAAGGTCAATCCCCAGGGAAAAGAGACCGAAAGACTAAACTTTATTCCCACCTCAAACGGCTGCACAGGTTTCTCTAACACTAGCACTGATTTTTTAATTGGTGTCTAGAACTTGAATTTGGATATATGAAATGGTTTGTCTGTGTCTCCTCTGCACAAAGGTGCATTCCTCTGTATGGACCCAAACTGGGATGCTGCAGGGGTTAAACACTGTGCTACCCTGCTCATCACCACACCACCAACCACTGACCTCTGGTGCCTCCCAATCACACTCCCAGCCTCTTCCTAGAGGTCAAAGTGCATTTAGGGAAGAGTTTCATCCCAGGGGAGTAGGTATGGAGTGATCTAGCTTGGGAAAGTTTTGTTGCCTTGTCCAAAAATATGCCTTGTGTGTTTATCTCACAAAAGACAGGGTCACAAGCAACACCACTTGTGCTTGCAGTGTCTGTGGTGACATTTGCAGCGGTCCTTGGGACCTGGGGGAGTTCACAGCCACCGACCCTGCAACTTCCATCTGTCTCCCCCTCTGCTGTGCCAGACAGGCAAAATATCCTCCAAACAAAGAGCAGGACAACTACAAAGTGTAAAGGAAGCCAGGGCAGAGAGCAGAAAACAGGCTGTGTGAGCTGCCCTCGCCTCCAGACTCTGGAGGTTCCTGGGCTCCGTGGGCTTTGTGCCCAGGGATGGCAGCACAGCCAGGGGGTGATGGAAAGCATAAATAAGTGTAGATACATTATAATAATGGAAAACACTGCTAAATGGATATGGATGCTACTGTGAGACACAATGAGAAACTCAGGCACTCGCCTGGAACGGCACAGAATGACCTGGTTGTTGTGACTGCACATGTGGCACAAGGACACCGCTCCAAAATACTTGTCTTTCCTCTGCCCTGCCTTAGGCAGTCTCTGCCAGTTTGTCTTCACAATGCACTTATCTCGCCCAAACTCTGAGCACTTTCATTTATTTGCTGTTAACCAGAGGTAAACCTGCATTTCTCTTCTTTCATCTTGCTGGTATTTTAAGTTCAGCCCATTTCACCAGTTTGCCCTGTGCTTGAGAGCTGCTGGACTAAACAAAGCACAAATTTAATGGGAAAAGAGTGATGTTTTCCTTCAATATTTAATATGTGCCCCTGAAACACGTTCCCCCAGCCCCTTGTGCCTCTTTGGGGGGGAAGAATAATTTTGTCAGGTGAAATGGCCGTTATCTCATGGCCAGTGGTTTCAGATAACGCACTGAGGTCAAAGCAGATGAAAACAGATGAAAAAGATTTCTGCTCTTATCCATCAGGAATCTGTTCACTCAGGGCCTCTCTGGTGTTTCCATCTTAATGTACTGGCCTGGATCCAGGCTGTGCTGAGTCCACAATATCAGCTTCATTAGATAAGCCTGGAGTCAGCTCTTGGCTGGATTCTCTCCGACCGTGCTCAGGGAAGGGAGGTGTGAGAGCAGAAGAAAGATGACCACAGCTAATGCATCCAGGTGGGTTTTCCTCACTCTTACATTACTGTTTATTTGTGGAATGGAAGATTCCCTCTCTAAATCATTGACTTCCCAGCAGGAATCCAGATGATTTGATGTTTTCCTGGATAACTGTTCCAATGAAGTGGGATAATGGTTCTTTGCACTGCCTCATGCCTGTTTCTGTGGTCACCACTCAGGATACATCCATTAATTTATCACCTTGGAAAGCACTTTTGTGCAAGGTTTAGCGATCTCAGGGATGAAGAGATCTCAAAGCCTGCTCAGGCTTTGAGCAATTCATTGTTTCCGAGCATGGCAACCCCTCTTTTTCATCTCCCCATGAAAGTACCAGCAAAAAAAACCCCACAAACCCGAGGAGATCAATGTGAGCAATGGAAGGATGAGGCTGATGCAGATCAGGAGACAGCAATGGGTCACAAGGTCAGCTCCTTTCCCTGTAGGGGCAATTCCATCCCTTTTTTGCAGGTTTGGAATGAGAGACTC